AATGGGGCCTTCTAAGATCTATTTCCAGAGTATTGATCAAATTTGCAGATTCAGGCAGGTAGCAGAGTTTGTCTCAGGGAAAATCTACTGACCAGATTCAGGCAGGTAGCAGAGTTTGTCTCAGGGAAAATCTAAAGACCAGATTCAGGCAGGTAGCAGAGTTTGTCTCAGGGAACATCTAATGACCAGATTCAGGCAGGTAGCAGAGTTTGTCTCAGGGAAGATCTAAAGACCAGATTCAGGCAGGTAGCAGAGTTTGTATCAGGGAAAATCTAAAGACCAGATTCAGGCAGGTAGCAGAGTTGACTGAGGTAAAACCTAGAGAGACCAGATTCAGGCAGGTAGCAGAGTTTGACTGAGGTAAAACCTAGAGAGACCACTGCTCTCAGAGATTAATGTCAGATTGAGTGAACAACCTCCGCAATGTTTCATGTTTACTCTGCTGAGTCTCCCGGTCGCGGCCGGCTGCGACAGAGCCTTAGACCACTGCGCCACTCTGCTGAGTCTCCCGGTCGCGGCCGGCTGCGACAGAGCCTTAGACCACTGTGCCACTCTGCTGAGTCTCCCGGTCGCGGCCGGCTGCGACAGAGCCTTAGACCACTGCGCCACTCTGCTGAGTCTCCCGGTCAGAGCCTTAGACCACTGCGCCACTCTGCTGAGTCTCCCGGTCAGAGCCTTAGACCACTGCGCCACTCTGCTGAGTCTTTGCATTCTAAGTAGTAGAGGGGATAGTACACAGATACAGTCCCGTCTACGTTACAGAACAGTCCCGTCTACGTTACAGAACAGTCCCGTCTACGTTACAGAACAGTCCCGTCTACGTTACAGAACAGTCCCGTCTACGTTACAGAACAGTCCCGTCTACGTTACAGAACAGTCCCGTCTACGTTACAGAACCAGTAAATACATCCAGTAACAGTCCTGTCTATGTGACAGAACCAGTAAATACATCCAGTAACAGTCCTGTCTATGTGACAGAACCAGTAAATACATCCAGTAACAGTCCTGTCTACGTTACAGGACCAGTAAATACATCCAGTAACAGTCCTGTCTATGTGACAGAACCAGTAAATACATCCAGTAACAGTCCTGTCTACGTTACAGAACCAGTAAATACATCCAGTAACAGTCCTGTCTATGTGACAGGACCAGTAAATACATCCAGTAACAGTCCTGTCTACATGACAGGACCAGTAAATACATCCAGTAACAGTCCTGTCTATGTGACAGAGATATGAATCACATCACAGTGGAAGAGTCATTCAACCTGCTGCCTCAGAGGAGTGATGTCATTAGGATGTCTGTTCCCGTTGTCAAAGCTAGGGTTAGAATGTAGTCTGGACTAGCAGTCTAATGTGTACCTCTCTGTGTCTGTCCTCTTCAGGTCTTTTAAATGGGGCGAGTCTGACCCCCTCCCATACCCCGTCTACGGCCACGCTACTGTGTCTCACGACGGACTCATCTTCGTGATCGGAGGAAAGTCGGATGGCAAGTGAGTTATCAACGTGATACTGCGTTCTCCTCCACACTGCTGATGTACAGCTCAGTCACGTTGTCCAGCTCAGTCACGGTGTCCAGCTCAGTCACGGTGTCCAGCTCAGTCACGGTGTCCAGCTCAGTCACGGTGTCCAGCTCAGTCACGGTGTCCAGCTCAGTCACGGTGTCCAGCTCAGTCACGGTGTCCAGCTCAGTCACGGTGTACAGCTCAGTCACGGTGTCCAGCTCAGTCACGGTGTCCAGCTCAGTCACGGTGTCCAGCTCAGTCACGGTGTCCAGCTCAGTCACGGTGTCCAGCTCAGTCACGGTGTCCAGCTCAGTTAAGACGTTAAGGCACTCTTCAGTCCCTCCAGACAGTATTACATTTACATTTACGTCATTTAGCAGACGCTCTTATTCAGAGCGACTTACAAATAGGTGCATTCACCTTATAGCCAGTGGGATAACCACTTTACAATGTTTATTTTTTTTTGGGGGGGGGGGGGGGGGGGGGGGGTTGGAGTAAAAGGGGGGGGGGGGGGGGGTAGAAGGATTACTTTATCCTATCCCAGGTATTCCTTAAAGAGGTGGGGTTTCAAATGTCTCCGGAAGGTGGTGAGTGACTCCGCTGTCCTGGCGTCGTGAGGGAGCTTGTTCCACCATTGGGGTGCCAGAGCAGCAAACAGTTTTGACTGGGCTGAGCGGGAACTATGCTTCCGCAGATGTAGGGGAGCCAGCAGGCCAGAGGTGGATGAACGCAGTGCCCTCGTTTGGGTGTAGGGACTGATCAGAGCCTGAAGGTACGGAGGTGCCGTTCCCCTCACAGCTCCGTAGGCAAGCACCATGGTCTTGTAGCAGATGCGAGCTTCAACTGGAAGCCAGTGGAGTGTGCGGAGGAGCGGGGTGACGTGAGAGAACTTGGGAAGGTTGAACACCAGACGGGCTGCGGCATTCTGGATGAGTTGTAGGGGTTTAATGGCACAGGCAGGGAGCCCAGCCAACAGCGAGTTGCAGTAATCCAGACGGGAGATGACAAGTGCCTGGATTAGGACCTGTGCCGCTTCATGTGTAAGGCAGGGTCGTACTCTCCGAATGTTGTAGAGCATGAACCTACAGGATCGGGTCACCGCCTTGATGTTAGCGGAGAACGACAGGGTGTTGTCCAGGGTCACGCCAAGGCTCTTCGCACTCTGGGAGGAGGACACAACGGAGATGTCAACCGTGATGGCGAGATCATGGAACGGGCAGTCCTTCCCCGACAGTATGGTCACTAACAACAACAACTACTACTGCTGCTACTACTAGGATGTGTGTCTGTCCTGGAGGAAGGTGAAGAGGAGGATGTGTCTGTCCTGGAGGAAGGTGATGAGGAGGATGTGTCTGTCCTGTAGGAAGGTGATGAGGAGGATGTGTCTGTTCTGGAGGAAGGTGAAGAGGAGGATGTGTCTGTCCTGGAGGAAGGTGATGAGGAGGATGTGTCTGTTCTGTAGGAAGGTGATGAGGAGGATGTGTCTGTCCTGGAGGAAGGTGATGACGAGGATGTGTCTGTCCTGTAGGAAGGTGATGAGGAGGATGTGTCTGTCCTGTAGGAAGGTGAAGAGGAGGATGTGTCTGTTCTGTAGGAAGGTGATGACGAGGATGTGTCTGTTCTGTAGGAAGGTGATGAGGAAGGATGTGTCTGTCCTGTAGGAAGGTGATGACGAGGATGTGTCTGTCCTGTAGGAAGGTGATGACGAGGATGTGTCTGTCCTGTAGGAAGGTGATGAGGAGGATGTGTCTGTTCTGTAGGAAGGTGATGACGAGGATGTGTCTGTTCTGTAGGAAGGTGATGAGGAAGGATGTGTCTGTCCTGTAGGAAGGTGATGACGAGGATGTGTCTGTCCTGTAGGAAGGTGATGACGAGGATGTGTCTGTTCTGTAGGAAGGTGATGAGGAGGATGTGTCTGTTCTGTAGGAAGGTGATGACGAGGATGTGTCTGTTCTGTAGGAAGGTGATGAGGAAGGATGTGTCTGTCCTGTAGGAAGGTGATGACGAGGATGTGTCTGTCCTGTAGGAAGGTGATGACGAGGATGTGTCTGTTCTGTAGGAAGGTGATGAGGAGGATGTGTCTGTTCTGTAGGAAGGTGATGAGGAGGATGTGTCTGTTCTGTAGGAAGGTGATGAGGAGGATGTGTCTGTCCTGTAGGAAGGTGATGAGGAGGATGTGTCTGTTCTGTAGGAAGGTGATGAGGAGGATGTGTCTGTCCTGTAGGAAGGTGATGAGGAGGATGTGTCTGTCCTGTAGGAAGGTGATGAGGAGGATGTGTCTGTTCTGTAGGAAGGTGATGAGGAGGATGTGTCTGTCCTGTAGGAAGGTGATGAGGAGGATGTGTGCGTACGATGCACAGCGGTTTGAGTGGAAGGAGCTGGCTCCGATGCAGCTGGCCCGCTCTCTGTTCGGAGCCACCATCCATAAAGACAAGATCTACGTAGCAGCAGGCGTTACAGACACCGGCCTGACGGACACCGTGGAGGTCTACGACATCAAAACAAACAGGTCAGTAGCATACCTGCAGCCTCAGTGTGTGTGTCAGACTTCATGGAGGTCTACCACAGTAATACCAACAAGTCAGATTTCACATTGCTGAAAGTGCTATGAAGTCTGAGTTAACTGTCCTGCCAACATATTCTCTCTGGGAGCTGATGATGATTCGATAACAATGAACAGTGATTGATTTACCTCTACTCATATGGCTGTTAAACCCCTAATCTGTATCGCCAGGTGGTCAGACTTTGTGGAGTTCCCTCAGGGTCGTAGCTCTCTCAGTCTGGCATCGGTGGCCGGGGGTCTCTACGCTGTCGGAGGCTTCGCCATGATGCCCAGCGAGGACAAGGAGGAACTCCTCCCCAAGGAGATGAACGACATCTGGAGGTGAGGAACACACAGACGCCTGGCAGGGAGGATCAGGGCTCTGGTTAAAGTGCTGATAGCAACACTGACACACTGGGCCACAAATGCTCCAAATCATTTCACTACAAGACCTATGGTCACTACAGACTCCTGTTCTGTCCTCATCTGTCCTCATACCTGACGTCCTGTTCTGTCCTCTTACCTAACAACCTGTTCTGTTCTCTTACCTAACATCCTGTTCTGTTCTCTTACCTAACATCCTGTTCTGTTCTCTTACCTAACATCCTGTTCTGTCCTCTTACCTAACATCCTGTTCTGTTCTCTTACCTGACGGCCTGTTCTGTCCTCTTACCTGACGGCCTGTTCTGTTCTCTTACCTAACATCCTGTTCTGTCCTCTTACCTAACATCCTGTTCTGTCCTCTTACCTAACATCCTGTTCTGTCCTCTTACCTAACATCCTGTTCTGTTCTCTTACCTAACATCCTGTTCTGTTCTCTTACCTGACGGCCTGTTCTGTCCTCTTACCTAACATCCTGTTCTGTCCTCTTACCTAACATCCTGTTCTGTCCTCTTACCTAACATCCTGTTCTGTCCTCTTACCTAACATCCTGTTCTGTTCTCTTACCTAACATCCTGTTCTGTCCTCTTACCTAACATCCTGTTCTGTCCTCTTACCTAACATCCTGTTCTGTCCTCTTACCTGATGTCCTGTCCTTTCCTCCTACAGGTATGACGAGGGGGAAAGGAAGTGGGTGGGCGTTCTGCGGGAGATCCAATATGCCTCTGGGGCCACCATCCTGGGGGCGCGACTCAACACGCTCCGACTCACCAAGATGTAACACTCAACACACTCAGACTCACCAAGATGTAACACTCAACACGCTCCGACGCACCAAGATGTAACACTCAACACTCTCCGACTCACCAAGATGTAACACTCAACACTCTCCGACTCACCAAGATGTAACACTCAACACGCTCCGACGCACCAAGATGTAACACTCAACACGCTCCGACTCACCAAGATGTAACACTCAACATGCTCCGACTCACCAAGATGTAACACTCAACACGCTCCGACTCACCAAGATGTAACACTCAACACTCTCCGACTCACCAAGATGTAACACTCCTCAACACTCTCCGACTCACCAAGATGTAACACTCAACACGCTCCGACTCACCAAGATGTAACACTCAACATGCTCCGACTCACCAAGATGTAACACTCAACACGCTCCGACTCACCAAGATGTAACACTCAACACTCTCCGACTCACCAAGATGTAACACTCAACACTCTCCGACTCACCAAGATGTCACACTCCTCAACACTCTCCGACTCACCAAGATGTAACACTCAACACGCTCCGACTCACCAAGATGTAACACTCAACATGCTCCGACTCACCTAGATGTAACACTCAACACGCTCCGACTCACCAAGATGTAACACTCAACACTCTCCGACTCACCAATATGTAACACTCAACACTCTCCGACTCACCAAGATGTAACACTCCTCAACACTCTCCGACTCACCAAGATGTAACACTCAACACTCTCCGACTCACCAATATGTAACACTCAACACTCTCCGACTCACCAAGATGTAACACTCAACACACTCCGACTCACCAAGATGTAACACTCAACATGCTCCGACGCACCAAGATGTAACACTCCTCAACACCATGAGACTCACCAAGTTTTAAAGATGTTACACTCCTCACAGTGCCACCTGTTCCAACCCATGACATCTGTGTTTGACCTGGAGGGAGTTAGTGGGAGGTCACATGGAAAAGCATCTCTGGGGCCTCCCGAGTGGCGCAGCGGTCTAAGGCACTGCATCTCAGTGCTTGAGGCGTCACTACAGACCCGGGTTCGATCCCAGGCTGTATCACAACCGGCCGTGACCGGGAGTCCCATAGGGCAGCGCACAATTGGCCCAGCGTCGTCCGGGTTAGGGGAGGGCTTGGCCGGGGGAGCTTTACTTGGCTCATCGCGCTCTAGCGACTCCTTATGGCGGTCCGGGCACCTGCAGGCTGACTTCAGTCGTCAGTTGAACGGTGTTTCCTCTGACAAATTGGTGCAGCTGGCTTCCAGGTTAAGTTTCAGAAGACGCATGACTCGACCTTCACCACTCCCGAGCCCGTTGGGGAGTTGCAGCGATGAGACAAGATCATAATTGGATCGCAATTGGATATCACAAAATTGGGGAGAAATATATATACAGTACCAGTCCAAAGTTTGGACACAGCTACTCATTCAATGGTTTTTCTTTCATCAATTTGTTTAACACTTGTTTGGTTACTACATGATTCCATATGTGTTATTTCATAGTTTTGATATCTTCACTATTATTCTACAATGTATAAAATAGTAAAAATAAAGAAAAACCCTTGAATGAGTAGGTGTGTCCAAACTTTTGACTGGTACTGTATAACAAATAAAAAGATTAAACAAATAAATAAATAGCATCTCTGTTTTAGTAAAGCTTGAAAGACTGGAATGTATATGTTGAGTGGCTTTATGTCACGGTTTCTGCAGAGGCTGCTCCTTCTCCTTGTTCGGGCAGGCTTCGGCGGTCGTCGTCCCCGGAGTACTAGCTGCCACCGTTCGTTGTTTCTGTGTGTGTTTGGTTTGGTCTGTTTTGGTACACCTGTTGCTCATTTTGTCTTGATTATGTGTCCTTTAAGTTCTCGTTGTTTCTGTCTTGTGGTTGTGTGTAGTTGTTCTATGTCAGCAGGTGTTGCCAGTCAGTTTGTGCTCTATTTTTATAGAGAGTCCGCACTGTTGTGCGTTTGTTGTATTTTTACGCTGAGTGCGTTATTTTCCTTGTTCTTCCGGCTCTGTTTGTAGCCGTTCATTCTGTGGACTTTATTAAAGTATTTTGGACTTGCATCTGCATCCTGCATTTGATTCCACACCACACCTCCGCCCGTCTCTGACACTTTACTGCAGGTCAAAAGACTGGAACCACAAGAGCTGCACCTCTTCCAACACCGCAACACATCTAAAATACTATTATCAACACGTCTAAAGGACTATTATCACAACACATCTAGAGGACTCTATTATCAACACATCTAAAGGACTATTATCACAACACATCTAAAGGACTATTATCACAACACATCTAGAGGACTATTATCACAACAGATCTAGAGGACTCTATTACCAACACGTCTAAAGGACTATTATCACAACACATCTAGAGGACTATTATCACAACACATCTAGAGGACTCTATTACCAACACGTCTAAAGGACTATTATCACAACACATCTAGAGGACTATTATCACAACACATCTAGAGGACTCTATTATCAACACATCTAAAGGACTATTATCACAACACATCTAAAGGACTATTATCACAACATATCTAGAGGACTCTATTATCAACACATCTAAAGGACTATTATCACAACACATCTAGAGGACTCTATTATCAACACATCTAAAAGACTATTATCACAACACATCTAGAGAACTCTATTATCAACACATCTAAAGGACTATTATAATAATATAATATAATATGCCATTTAGCAGACGCTTTTATCCAAAGCGACTTACAGTCATGCGTGCATACATTTTTACGTATGGGTGGTCCCGGGGATCGAACCCACTACCCTGGCGTTACAAGCGCCGTGCTCTACCAGCTGAGCTACAGAGGACTTATCAGAGCTACAGAGGACTTATTATCACAACACATCTAGAGGACTCTATTATCAACACATCTAAACAACACATCTACAACACATCTAAAGGACTATTATCACAACACATCTAGAGGACTCTATTATCACAACACATCTAGAGGACTCAACACATCTAGAGGACTCTATTATCAACACATCTAAAAGACTATTATCACAGCACATCTAGAGAACTCTATTATCAACACATCTAAAGGACTATTATCACAACACATCTAGAGAACTCTATTATCAACACATCTAAAGGACTATTATCACAACACATCTAGAGAACTCTATTATCAACACATCTAAAGGACTATTATCACAACACATCTAGAGAACTCTATTATCAACACATCTAAAGGACTATTATCACAACACATCTAGAGAACTCTATTATCAACACATCTAAGGACTATTATCACAACACATCTAGAGGACTCTATTATCAACACATCTAAAGGACTATTATCACAACACATCTAGAGGACTCTATTATCAACACATCTAAAGGACTATTATCACAACACATCTAGAGGACTCTATTATCAACACATCTAAAGGACTATTATCACAACACATCTAGAGGAGAGGACTCTATTATCAACACATCTAAAGGACTATTATCACAACACATCTAGAGGACTCTATTATCAACACATCTAAAGGACTATTATCACAACACATCTAGAGAACTCTATTATCAACACATCTAAAGGACTATTATCACAACACATCTAGAGGACTCTATTATCAACACATCTAAAGGACTATTATCAACACATCTAAAGGACTATTATCACAACACATCTAGAGGACTCTATTATCAACACATCTAAAATACTATTATCACAAAACACCTAGAGGACTCTATTATCAACACATCTAAAGGACTATTATCACAACACATCTAGAGAACTCTATTATCAACACATCTAAAGGACTATTATCACAACATATCTAGAGGACTCTATTATCAACACATCTAAAGGACTATTATCACAACACATCTAGAGGACTCTATTATCAACACATCTAAAAGACTATTATCACAACACATCTAGAGAACTCTATTATCAACACATCTAAAGGACTATTATCACAACACATCTAGAGAACTCTATTATCAACACATCTAAAGGACTATTATCACAACACATCTAGAGGACTCTATTATCAACACATCTAAAGGACTATTATCACAACACATCTAGAGGACTCTATTATCAACACATCTAAAGGACTATTATCACAACACATCTAGAGGACTCTATTACCAACACGTCTAAAGGACTATTATCACAACACATCTAGAGGACTATTATCACAACACATCTAGAGGACTCTATTATCAACACATCTAAAGGACTATTATCACAACACATCTAAAGGACTATTATCACAACACATCTAGAGGACTCTATTATCAACACATCTAAAGGACTATTATCACAACACATCTAGAGGACTCTATTATCAACACATCTAAAAGACTATTATCACAGCACATCTAGAGAACTCTATTATCAACACATCTAAAGGACTATTATCACAACACATCTAGAGAACTCTATTATCAACACATCTAAAGGACTATTATCACAACACATCTAGAGAACTCTATTATCAACACATCTAAAGGACTATTATCACAACACATCTAGAGAACTCTATTATCAACACATCTAAAGGACTATTATCACAACACATCTAGAGAACTCTATTATCAACACATCTAAAGGACTATTATCACAACACATCTAGAGGACTCTATTATCAACACATCTAAAGGACTATTATCACAACACATCTAGAGGACTCTATTATCAACACATCTAAAGGACTATTATCACAACACATCTAGAGGACTCTATTATCAACACATCTAAAGGACTATTATCACAACACATCTAGAGGACTCTATTATCAACACATCTAAAGGACTATTATCACAACACATCTAGAGGACTCTATTATCAACACATCTAAAGGACTATTATCACAACACATCTAGAGGACTCTATTATCAACACATCTAAAGGACTATTATCACAACACATCTAGAGAACTCTATTATCAACACATCTAAAGGACTATTATCACAACACATCTAGAGGACTCTATTATCAACACATCTAAAGGACTATTATCAACACATCTAAAGGACTATTATCACAACACATCTAGAGAACTCTATTATCAACACATCTAAAGGACTATTATCACAACACATCTAGAGGACTCTATTATCAACACATCTAAAATACTATTATCACAACACATCTAGAGGACTCTATTATCAACACATCTAAAGGACTATTATCACAACACATCTAGAGAACTCTATTATCAACACATCTAAAGGACTATTATCACAACACATCTAGAGGACTCTATTATCAACACATCTAAAGGACTATTATCACAACACATCTAGAGGACTCTATTATCAACACATCTAAAGGACTATTATCACAACACATCTAGAGGACTCTATTATCAACACATCTAAAGGACTATTATCACAACACATCTAGAGGACTCTATTATCAACACATCTAAAGGACTATTATCACAACACATCTAGAGGACTCTATTATCAACACATCTAAAGGACTATTATCACAACACATCTAGAGAACTCTATTATCAACATATCTAAAGGACTATTATCACAACACATCTAGAGGACTCTATTATCAACACATCTAAAGGACTATTATCACAACACATCTAGAGGACTCTATTATCAACACATCTAAAGGACTATTATCACAACACATCTAGAGGACTCTATTATCAACACATCTAAAGGACTATTATCACAACACATCTAGAGGACTCTATTATCAACACATCTAAAGGACTATTATCACAACACATCTAGAGGACTCTATTATCAACAAATCTAAAGGACTATTATCACAACACATCTAGAGAACTCTATTATCAACACATCTAAAGGACTATTATCACAACACATCTAGAGGACTCTATTATCAACACATCTAAAGGACTATTATCAACACATCTAAAGGACTATTGTCACAACACATCTAGAGAACTCTATTATCAACACATCTAAAGGACTATTATCACAACACATCTAGAGGACTCTATTATCAACACATCT